AACAATGACAAGGAAGGAACTAGTGTTCAGGGACTATTAAATTTGTGGGCACATCTCACAGCATTCTAAGTGCAGGCATGTGTTGGAAAGCACTGCAGACTGAGCCATGCTGAGAACTGGGAGAGAGGTAGAGGCTAGGGAGGTCGGGGTGGCTAGGACCCAGAAGGCAGATTGGACATGATGTAACAATGTGTCAAGAATGGAGATAGAGAAGTACAGATATGGCACTGACTGCTGACCTGAGAATCAAACACTAGTGTGAACAGTTAATACTGTCAGAACCAACCAAACCCAGCCTTGACAGTACGCCCTTCCCTAGCACCCACTCACCAAGATCAGGCCCTTTCTGGGTCTTTCTTGATAGAACTGGAATGAAACCCACTTGGTCAAGCACCCAGGGTTTTTCCACTTGCTCCAGGCAGGTGACTCTGTGTGGTATGGAAGATATAATTCCTAAGAGAAGGACAGGGCAGGTGAGTGGTCAACACAGGCTCAGGGAAAACCATGTATTGAAAGGCCACAGGTTAGAACACTATTACGAAGAGAGGTTTGGCAGGAAAAGCCCAGAGCTCCTTGTAAATAATGATTATGATAGTGCCTGCAATTCCTGCAATTCCTGGGATAGTCAGGTCCCAGATTATGTCACCTAGAGACCTAGAGGTAGGAAGGAGATCTGTAGACACAGAGGTGCCAGGATTCTGGACAGGGTCATCACCCGGAGAGTGCTTAAACTAAATGGTAATCCAATGGAAACCCTACAATTCCATTGAACTGTACACCTTTGACTGTAAGACTTCAGACCTGGTCAATGAGAGGTGGGAAATGTTCCATACAGCTCACTCTAGCAGCCAAAGCACCTGATCCAGAAAACTGGGGTTGGAAGAAGTGCCTATAATCCAACTGTGCAAACTACAGAGCAGTTCTGGGGCAAAGGGCAAAGGGCAAAGGGCGATCAGATAGATATGTCATCATCATGATAAGATGTGTTCCTCACCCAAGGAGGCCATGAGGGCAAAGTTGCCCAGCATCACCTTAGGGTACCAGAGTCTCTGAGCCTCATCAAGGAGCCCCAACTCCACCTGAGAGAAGTACACACACACAGCCTCAAAGATCACAGGGCTCTGTAAGGAAGACAGAAATGCCCATGAAAACTTGTGCTCAAGTATACCCCAGTCTATCCAACAGCAACCTCTACACATCCACTTCCCCAAGTTAGAGAAGTTATCAGTCACCAATGCCACTGGGTCCCACATTCATTATTCCAGTGATCAATGTGTCAGCCAACGTCAAAAAATGGGCAGATAAATGCCATCGAAACCCTGGGTCTGAGGCCCATGTCATTTGAAGGGGCAGTGTCTGGAAAAGGACACCAGGCCTGATAGAAAGTCTTTGGAAAAGAAGACCACAGGATTGTCACAGTGGCAACGATGATGGGCTCAAACATACAACAATTGTGAGGATATTACAGGACTGGGTAGTGTTTCATTCTATTGTACATAGGTGTGGTAGTTACATAATCTGTTGTCCATTTGAGATAAGTAAAGGGGTGGAGTTTAGCCTACCAATCAGGTCACAGCTTGATGACCTCATTTGGAGACACTGAGGAGATAAATAGCTTGTTGGAGGTGGAACACCCACTCAGTCCCTCTGAGATATTCTTGTTGACAAGCCACATGGAGACAGGCTGATGGCAGCCAGAGCCTTGGAGCTGGAGAAGTCACGTGGAGACTCCCTGCCAGCGCTAAGATACTTATACCACCACTGGATCCACAAGACTTCCCATCCACTGGCCTGTGATCTTCCTGCATTCGGCATCATTGCATGTGTTGTATGAGTCTGAAGAGAACTTTATAGATTGGTATCGGATATATGGGCTAATATTGTACTAATCAACTTGATCTGGACTGGGCTGGGATGTTTTATTAATGTACAATTACTCTTTATATAAAGCTCTTTCTTATACATATATGAGTCTCCCTGGATTTGTTTCTCTAGTCTACCCATACTAACACAGTAGGGTTGCTATGAGTCAGAACTAAATCAATGGACCTTAACAACATCACCTCTAAACATTGCTCTTATTTTCAGAACCTGAGTGAGGGATACAATTCTAGGGGTTTTTTTTTGTTTTTTTTTTAATCATTTTATTAGGGGCTCATACAACTCTTATCACAATCCATACATACATCAATTGTGTAAAGCACATTTGTACATTCATTGTCCTCATCATTCTCAAAACATTTGCTCTCCACTTAAGCCCCTGGCATCAGATCCTCATTTTTTCCCCTACCTCCCTGCACCCCGGCCTCTCTCATGAACTCTTGATAATTTATAAATTATTATTTTGTCGTATCTTGCCCTGTGCAACGTCTTCCTTCCCCCACTTTTCTGTTGTCCGTCCCCCAGGGAGGAAGTCACATGTAGATCCATGTGGAAGGTCATGTGATACTGAGCATTAAAATGAAAATCTGTCAAAGCACATATCCAAACTACAATCAGTGACTTCCTTTCTTTCCACAGGCCCCACAACTTGTAGCTTATCACCAGACTATATTCTGTGGGGATGTTTTTAGAACAAGATGAGATGACTTAAACCCCATTTGTATCCTCATAGAACCCTTCTTATCAGAAGACATTGCAAGACTTTCTTTGCAAATAAGTGTAGTTTTTATAGACTGGAGTACTCAACATTGTCAGGGGAGCCAGCCCCTAACAAATCATCACGTGTCCAGTAGGCGCAATTGTACAGCGATAATAAGTAAATATTATAGTAAAGTCACAGATAATAAGAGAGATAGAAAAGAGATTGAAATAATGGAGTCAGACACATTTCATAGTAGCATGCTCACCTCAGCCCTGCTTGGTGGTCCACGTGAGGATGCTGAAGGTGGGAATTGCAGGAACGAACAAGCATGGTTTATTACTAACCAACGCTTATATATCTTTGGGGGGGGTGCAAGCCCCCTAATTACAGGTAAAGACATGCGTCACATGAAGGGGTTGTGCTATAGGTAATACAGTAATGGGAGGGGGACGATCTAGGGGTATACATGCAATAGGAAGGGGAGGAATTGGGGATATACATTTGACAAGATGGGCGGATCCTAGATTCAGGAAGGCAGCCTAACTCTGGATGTCACTGAGCAGGTTTGGCCTGTTCTCTGGCTCTCCATTGAAACCATTATCAGTTGGTGTGAACCCCACCTACAGTGGACCAGACTGGAGGCTGAAAGTCTTCAGGGAGAAGTAATTCATTGTCCTTAACAGCAGGGAGTGGGCTCCACCTGTGGTGGGACCAGACAGTAGTCTGAAGGCTGAATGCATCTGACCTCCCACCATGTGCTGGCAAATAGCCTCTAATGTTTGGCATATCTTTGGGGGAGACCAAGCTGGGACAAAGTCTTTTCATATCCCACACAACATCATTACTCAGTGTTTCAGCTAGTAGGTGGCTCTTCTTCACTGCATTGTAGAGATGGCCATTTAGAGCATATTCTAGATTCAAGTACACCTGGTCCCTGGTCATGAGAGAAGTGCAGAGGCACAGGATGCTGGGAGTGCTTGGGGGAATGCATGGGAAAAGGCTCAGGCACCTAATTAAGGTTCAGCATAGGGATATGTCTCTGATAGAAATTACTGGTAACCTAATAGAAAACAATACAACAATGTATGCTTTTGTTAACATTTGCTGGCAGAGAAACAATTTGTAAAATAGTAAAACTTGCAAAAGCTAGAACCTAAGTAAGGCAGAAAGCTATCAGAGAAGGAAAACTCAACTTATTTTCCACCAGTAGTGATTGAAAAAAAGTGGTTACACCTTGGTGGAAAGCATGTGATGACCAAGGCAGAAGGGAGGGAAGCAGTCCCTCTTACCGGTCTTGCTGTGTATTCTTTAGTTGCATACAGTAGCAGCTCGTTCCTTTCTATTGCCTCGTACATTGCATTGTGATCTGCTGCTTCTGAAAGGGCAAAGCCTTAAACATTCTATGGAGCAGTTCTATTTTGCACACATGGGGTAACCTGGAGCCTGAGTCTACTAGAAGGCAACTATCAACACACCAAAAATAAAGACACACTGCCTGGTTATAAATGGTCCACGAACGTCTGTAAATGCATCTGCCGGAGCTGCCTTTCTCAACTAGAGTTCCATGAGAGAATCAGTTCCTACAGGAAGTTATTTCCCTGAGTAGTATCTTAACTACTTCATGAAAGTGGTTACATATATAATATCAATCTAAGTTCACAGAAGATAAATCAGCTCATTGTCTACAAGAAACTCCAATTTTTTTATATCATTTTATTGGGGGTTCATACAACTCTTATCACAATCCATATATACGTACATCAATTGTGTAAAGCACATTTGTGCATTTGTTGCCCTCATCATTCTCAAAACATTTGCTCTCCACTTAAGCCCTTGGCATCAGCTCCTCATTTTCCCCCCTCCCTCCCCCCTCCCCCATGAACCCTTGATAATTTATAAGTTATTATTTTGTCCTATCTTACACTGTCCATCTGTCCCTTCACCCACTTTTCTGTTATCCATACCCCAGGGAGGAGACTATATGTAGGTCCCTGTAATTGGTTCCCCCTTTCCACCCAAAAGTCCAATTTTATAGAGTAACCATCACCTGGGTAACATGTGACCTTTCTTATCTGGCTGCTTGTTTTGTAACTCATTAAAAAAAATAGGTTGAAAACAAATCGAATAATAAATATCTAGGAGTGGTTCTCAACCTTCCTAATGCCATGACCCTGTAATACAACAGTTCCTCATGTCATGGTGATCCCCCAACCATAAAATTATTTTCATTGCTACCTCATAACTGTCCTTTTGCTACTGTTATGACTCATAATGTAAATATCTGATATTCAGGATGTATTTTCATTGTTACAAATTGAATATGATTAAAGCATAGTGATTAATCACAAAACAATATATAATCATATATTGTGAAATATTTATTTCTAATTACAAATAAATGAAATTTTGTCTGGAAGCCTGGTGTAGCATGGGTAACAGTCTTCACGCCCTGTCCTCGTAGGTGGGCGTATCTACATATGGGCGGACCCACCCGGAGACGATAGAGGAGCCGTGCCTCCATTCCTAAGGCCATGGAAATATGTTATCAGACGGTCTTAGGCGGCCCCTGTGAAAAGGTCGTTCCAACCCACCCCCACAAAGGGGTCACGACCCACAGCTGAGAACCGCTGATCTACGGAGTGTGAGGAGTACTACATTGACTATTTAAATCCACTCAGAGAAATTTGAAAATTTCTTCCGATAAGTCACAGCCATGAGAACCCTACGGATACAGTGATCGACATATAACCCACCCCCACGACCTCCCACCCCGAGGGGAATGAAAAACAGGAAAGGGGGTGAAGGGAGACAGCGGAAGATATAAAAATAATAATAATTTGTATTTTATCAAGGGTTCATGAGGGAGAGGGTAATGAGGAGCTGATACGAAGGGCTCAAGTAGAAAATATTCTGAAAACTATGATGGAAATATATGCACAAAAGTGCTTGGCACAATGGATGTGGGTATGGGTCGTGATCAGAGCTGTAAGAGCTCCAATAAAATGATTTAAAAACAAGCCTACGCCTACGTTGGGGTACGGTGAGTCAGGGAGAAGCAGGTACATCTCGCCTTCCTGCACTTCACAGATCGTGTCTTCTACAGACTACGGGTTCACGGCGACCAGCATAAAGCAAGATGGTTTCCCCAACAGCACGTGCTCGTTTGGGGTCTGTCGCATTTTGGCAATTCTCAGCATTTCAGCCGTTTCCATAACGCGATTGCGGACTTACTACAGCATAAACATAACCTTTACGAGAACTGGGAAGGCCAAACACTCGTGTGATTTGCTTTTTTGTGGCACGCTGAAAAGAAACCCGGAACATGGGGGGTCCCGCAGCCGTTCACTGGGTTCTGACTTGAAGGGACCCCGCAGCACTGAACAGAACTGCCCCGCGGGCTTCCACGGCAGCCTCATCTTTGTCCCGGGGCGGCCGGTGGGTTTGAACTGCAAAACGGCGCAACTCCTGCACCCTCTCTGCTCCCTGCAGACGTGAGCGCCCCTCTCGGGCTCGCAGATGCTCCCGACGGCCGCGGTCTGACTCCTCTGCTCGCAGCGGCTTCCCCCACCAATGCCCCGGGAGGTAGGGCTGCTGCCATCAGAACAGGCCCCCTCCCCTCTGGAAGGCGCGGGCCTCGGGGACCAGGCTCCCACCTGCGCCGGGTCCATTACCGCGGCCGCCGCTGGTGGCAGCGCGGGTCCCCCAGCCCCCAGAAGTGGGGTCACCGCGAGCGCCGCTAACGATAGACCTCGGACCCCATTCTATGCAGTGAGGGCAACGACTGCGCCCTTGTGATCCTGTCACCTCGAAGCCTTCACGGTGAGGGCGTATCCAGCCCAGGGCTGAGAAAGCATCTGCAGTGTGACGACGCCTTTCCCACGCTCAGGCGTCCTCCTTTCCCGAGTTTATTGCCCTGGCACCACGGCGAGTCGTAGGGCTTTCTGGGTAACGTAGTTCCTACCAAGCCAGAGCTCAGCTCTGGGCTCAATGGGGTGGGGCTTCTCACCCGTTTCCAACGCTGAAATCTTTACAAAAACAGATCGCCAGGCTCCTCCTGCAGAGCCGCTGGGTGGGTTCAAAGCACCAACCAAAGCACCAAGATTAGCAACAAAAGCTGCCCCCTCTCCAGGTCCTGAACCCTGTAGGCCTGAACTACAAGGTCTGCATCCTCACCATCCTGGGTTTCCTGTCTGCGCAGCAGCGAACGTGAGGTGAGCAGTCCAGAGAGGGCACAGGAATCCATGCCACCTTTAGTATCTCAGTGACTTCAACTACGTCACTCAGTTCTGGAGGAACCTAGACTGTGGGAACCCACAGTAATGAGAAACACTTGTCCACACGCATTTTGAAGAGGTCCATTCCCTAATTTCTTTGTCTCTACTACTCCCTATTAACTCAGTGCTGCCATACCCATCATGGTTCCTCTGGTCCTTAGTCTTACAAGTAACACCTGCCAACTGAATTCCGGCCACTGGGCCAATAACTCCTTTTGGGGGGAGGGAGAGGGCAGTGATGAGCATTATGTCACACACAAAAAATCATGTTCCCAAGAAGCACTAGAGGGGGTCAAAACTTAGGGTGACCTATAACCCCACAGAAAACTCTGGCATCCAGTTCATAAATCAATACCACAATGCCCTGCAGTCCTTACCAGGAGGCTTAGGGGCAATGTGCAAACCACGCCTAGGGTGGAAAGCCATTGTCTGCCATCTAACATCCCTGCTGAGGCACACAGAGTTTAGAATCTATTCTTAGAACCCAATTCCACTTTCTAAGCCCCATGAAGACACCCCCACTTCCAAGATTAAAGGTAACTAAACAAAAAGTCCTTTATTATTGCAGAAACCAGAAAAATGGGTGTCAGGCATTTCCTGGTAACGTGGAGGCTGGTAAAGCTTAGAACACGCACCATATGAGCCCAACAATGTGCCTGAAACATGTCATCCTTTTCTGCATGCAACCAGCAAAACTGATAGGAGGTTAAGCCCAGGTCAGATCCATGCTTTTATGAGAGAAGGGAATGAAGATGTCTTAGGAACTCAGGTCTCTCTGGATTTCCTCTAACAAATAGGTGGGAACAGAGGCTGGCTTCCCTGTGCATGTTGCCATGGTGACTGATGGATGATGGGGGCTCCCAGAGGAAGAAGTGGCATGGCTTTTATCACAGAAAAGTGGCATGAGAACCTGATAAAGGCAGGTTAGAAAGTGCAGTGCAGCTCCCTAAAGTATCCCCAATACTTGGAACTTATAGAAGCCCTCCCACTCCCACTCCATGAAAGCTCGAATGAGGTTGAATTCAGGTGGATGATTCCCTCAGAAAAGCCCTCCTCCAGCCATGCTACATTGAGGACGCCACACATCCCAGCACATCTATGCCCTTTCACCAGTGTGAACCCTCTGGTGCTGAATAAGGTCAGCTTTGCGGCTAAAAGACTTTCTACACTCATCACACTCATAAGGTCTTTCTCCAGTATGAACTCTCCAGTGTTGAATAAGGCCAGAGCTTTGCCTGAAGGATTTCCCACATTCATCACACTTGTAGGGTCTTGCTCCCGTGTGAACTCTTCGATGTTTAATGAGGTCTGATTTACGGCTAAAGGATTTCTCACACTCACTACACTTATAAGGTCTTTCTCCAGTGTGAACTCTCCGATGTTGATTGAGACCGGAGCTTTGCCTGAAAGATTTCCCACATTCACTGCATTCATAAGGCATTTCTCCAGTGTGAATTCTTTTGTGTACAATCAGGTGTGAACTCCTGCCGAATAATTTCCCACATTCAACACACTTATAAGGTTTTTCGCCGGTGTGCACTCTCCTGTGGTGAATGAGGGTAGAGATATGGCTAAATGATTTCCCACATTTACCACACTCAAAAGGCTTTGCCCCTGTGTGAACTCTCCAGTGTTGAATGAGGCTGGAGCTTTGGCTAAAAGACTTCTCACATTCATTGCATTTATAAGGTCTTTCTCCAGTGTGCACTCTACGCTGTCTTATTGTGAGACCGGGGTTGGAGGTAAAGAATTTCTCACATTTTCCACATTCATAAGGGTTTGCACCTAAGTGAATCCTCTGGTGTTGGCAGAGGACAGAGATTTGGCTAAAAGATTTTCCACATTCACCACACTCACCTGGCCTTTCTCGAGGGTGAACTTGTTGATGCTGACCAAGTCTGTGACTGTAATTGACATTTTCCCCATATTTGCTACCTTCACATAGGCCTTCCTCAGGGCAAACACTATGGTGGTAAACACGATACGGCATGTCTTTGTGACTAACATCTTTCTTACACTCACTCCTCCTCGAGTGTGTCTTGACACTGTGAAAGGGCTCTGCACACCGGTTGCTGCTCGGTAGTTTCTCACCATTTAGAGAAGTCTGGTGTCGGACTTGGCCTGAGGTTGTCGGAACATCCTTCCCAACTTCCTCACACGTAATGGGCTCTCCTGGCGCTTGAACTCTGCAGTGCTTCACCAATGAGGCCTCATCAACATCCCTCTTGAAAGGCTCCTCTCCACAGTGATGCTTCTGAGGCTGGGAAACGCTGGCACGAAACCAGGAACCTCTGAAACCAGCCTCATCCAAGCACAGTTTCAGCCCAGAGTACGACGGCCAGAGTTCAGTCAGGTGCAACATGTCTTTCAAGATGAGGACACATGTCTTACAGGGGTGGGTCTTCGGGGTAAAAGGGCCTGCCTGGGGAACCCTTGCCTGTGACACTCTTTCTCCAGAAACACTCTGCTCTGACGACGCCTCATCCTCCTTGGTCCCATGCCAACAACCTGAAAGCAGAGAGATGCTGATAACATGTATGTTGACTTACGTGGGAGGGGGATAGTGAATGTACCCCAGACACGCCTAGGAGCGAGAGTCCATGAGACGACTGAGTAACATGGTTCAGTGCAATTAATTATTTAATGTGGCCCTTCTAGCCATGGTCTCTCAAATTCAACAAATGACCTTTTGCTGTGGGTCTGGGTAAGAGGTGAGAGAAGATACTCACAGGATTCAGCTGTAACTGTTAACAGGGTTTGTGATTGTCATCCTGCTGGGTGTAATATGGCTCAGAAGCGGGGGGTGGGGTGGGGGTGGGGGTGGGGTGTTATTACCAGTTAGAGCCAGAAACAGAAAACATCCTCTAGATACCTGGAAATCCCTTCATAAAGAACCGCCTTGATCCAGGAGGGCAGATTTGACACCAGAGAAGGGACAGAAGAGCAGCAGTCGCAGAACCAGGAGCCAGAGCCAGAACCATGGACTTTCCAACCCACAGAGCAAATAAAACCGAGGGTGTTTGTGGAGGAGGCTGGCTTGTGGAGTGGGTGCCTCTGGGCACTAGTTCAGGACGCTGGTTTGCTGAGCCACAGAGCTGGAGCTGGGTGCCTTCTGGTTGAGACTGACAGCAGAATGGTAAGCCGTTGGGCATTTATCAGTAGGCCTGAAAGAATTCTGTACTACGTCCTCACTGAACAACTGTATTCTGGGCACTTCTGACCTAATTGTAGCCTGTTACCTTCCCTAGTAAACCCTATAATCATGAGCATTGTCTGTGAGTTCTGTGGGACCACTGCCATGAACTATGGAACGCAGATGAAAAAGAGAGGGTGTGGGAAACAAACACTGAGGAAAATATGACGAGGACTAGATTCCCTAACACAACAGAGGGAATCTGGAAAGCTGGTATTCCACGGTAGAAACGCCTCTACTTTGGTAAGTTAGTGGTAACGTCCAACTACATTATCCTGCTTTAAAAATCATTCCCACAGAGTCTCCCCCTTAACAGCTATGCTGTCTCAAAGCGAGCACATGGTTGATTATCTCTCCCATATAGAAGCAGACATTATCCTTTTAACTCCCTCATACCTTCCCCCAATGCAGGCATCAGGTTTCCTCACCTGTGAGCTCAGTGACCCTTAATGTAGATACTGCCCACCTTGTGACCTCTGTAACTACTGAATATGTATGTCTTAAGCTTACTTATAAATATCCCAAGATAATAAAGACTGGCTCTTATTTCTCCCAGTTCTTCAATGCGCTCAGTTCCATGTGGTCCATCAAGAGAAGCTGAGGTAAGCATGCTACCATAAAATGTGTCTGACTCCTTTATTTTACTCTCTTATCTTTCTTATTCTCTATGAATTTACTATGATCTTTATATATCATCGCCATACATTTTGCCCCTTCTGGACCTTCGGTTGTTGGAAGCTGGTTCCCCCGACAGAGGGTACTTTGTGAAACAGAACAATTGGCTGATGGCACTGGGGGCCAAGTTGAGGAAGGGGGTGCTTTGTAGTACTGGGCCCGTGAAGATTACAGAATGAGAGTTCTCACCAGAGGAAAGTGTAGCACACACAAGGATGGGGTCTCACATACAGACAGGGTGCAGCACAGGGGTGGGGGTGGGGGGCAGGACCTCTAACTCACTCCAGTGTCAACTGCTTCCAGCAAGCTCTTGTTAGGTGTGATGCATGCCTGATGTACACAAAGTTGGTTGTTTCCAGGCCCAGGAAAACCCACTTGGAACTACTGAGTAGCTGACCTTCAAAGATTACCTGCAAACATCTGCATGTATGTGGGTCAATGCTGGAGAACAATGAAGGAAAAACAAGGGTGGAGGCAGCCACACCAAAAGTCAGGTTCAGAAGGCAATTCAGTAAAGTGTCAGGTGTGAGGAAGAAAAGGTAGAAACGGGGCCTAGCTGGTAACACTTCCAAGACTGGTAGACACACAGCAGGTTCCTGACATGATTTGAACTAAGGCCTGATGGTACTGTATATACCATCTCCTAGTTGCCACTCAGCAGGGCCAGGTCTCCTGAGACTCTGCTGCCAAGGCCACCATGAGAAGCAACCAGACCTCCTCCTTAACCCTCTCTGCCCGATGGGACCTGAGAGAGGGAGAGATAGGACAGGGGAGGGCAGCATGGGTCAAGAGCAACTTCGTACATCACAGACCACAGGGAAGAAAGTCAGTTTTACAAATAAAAACCCAAGAGCGGGTTTAGCGAGACCAACCCACCACCCGTTTAATAGTGGCTGTGGCAATACCTTCAGTTCATGGAACAGAAAGACAGGAAGAAATGTCTGCTACAGGAAGGGGTAAAACAAGAAACACGTGTGTGCGTGTGTGAAACAGAACCAGGAAGAGGGTGTTTGCAGACAAATTCTCTACACTCATATTGAAGGAGTCTGGGAGGCACACTGGTGGAGAGAGGCCTTCACGCTCATGAGTTGGAGATGTATTCCAGTCACATTCTCCTAAATAAAGTTATTCTCCACAACATCCCCTGTAATAATGCCACTTTTAAGGTGTTGCTTGCACGCATATGGTTGCTAGGATACTCTGGAAGGTTAACTGCTTGAAGGCTATCTGCCTGAAGATTGTCTGTCATCAGACCACCTCACCCTAAGTACTCTCCACTCCCTTCTGATAAGGATCATAGATTGCTCCCCTGGAGAAGGGCTCAGGGACACTTACGGTCAAGCCAGCTCAGAGATGACCAAGGTGAAGAGGTCATTTAACTCTAGAACCCACCTATCTGGTTAGGTATGTACCTTCCTGTTGCACGTACACCCCTAGCTCATCTCTTTCCTCTTGTGTGTATGCCTCTAATACAACCCCTTCCTGTTACATACCTGTATGATGAGACTTTCATGCCCGAGATTATATAAGCCTGTTAAGAGAATACATTCACACTCTCTCTGGTTCTGGTCTCCAGGGAAGAGGTGAGCCCTTGCAGGCCTTATCCGACGTTTCTTTAATTTAACCATTCTATTACACAACCGACCCCTTGGACACATTTGGTTGTGGAAGTTAGTCCCCCACAGGTGTGGGATTGTGGACACATCGCCCAGCAGGGAGAGGACAAGCAGAGTGGGACCTATTGAGCTGAATGGAAGACTATTGACCCCTAGGCCTTCTCTTGCACTTTCTGAGACAGCAGGTGGTGAGGATGCTCAGAGCGGTGCACACAGCTCACCAGTGGCACCCACTGCAGACAAGCCAAGAAAGTAAGGAAGGTAGCAGAACTCACGGGATGCGGTGCACAGACGGCGTTGTTTCTGGGGAAACACAAAGTCCAGGTCAGGACACCGGCGTGGGTATAAGGGTCTTACCTAGGGAAGCTATAATGGCAAAGTTCTCCAGCATCACATCTTGGTAGAGGGTCCTTTGTGTCTCATCGAGGAGCCCCCACTCCTCCTGGGAGAAGTCAATGGCCACATCCTCAAAGATCACACCGCCCTGCCAGGAGAAGAGTCCACACGATGATTAGCTTCTCTTAGGAGCCCAATTCTTGCCCACATTCTACATGTCCACCCTGCTCACCTTGTCCTCCGATTCCCACCTCAGAGGTGATGCAGGCCCTGGTGTCCACTCTTGCCTCACAGTTGGATCAGTCACCCAGTCAGGTCAGGTCAGAGTGACAGGCAGGTGTACGGAAAGACCAGATTTAAGCTCTAGGTCTGGTAGGCAATGCTGCACCCTCTCCTAACTGGCAATTCTCCTGGAGTTCCCCGGCCATACCTCCCAAACACAAACAAATGGGCTCACCCTCACCTCTAGGTATGGGCCACTAGGGTTAGGATCAACTTCCAATGTTCTTTCACTCACAACACAACACCCCCAACGTCACTGGGTTCTTCCTCTCCGCAGCTTCTGGAAAAAAGTTTTAAACCCTAACTCAGGCCTGTCCCTGCTCTGCTAACGACTCTACATCGCTCTGGAGAAAGGGGCAGCCTTTCTTCAGCCTGCCTCCAACCGTGACTTCCCCTCACACTCTATGCCCTGCTGACAAGAATGACGTCCACTATGCTGGACGCCCGCGACTCCAGACGTGCCGGTCCCTCTGCATTAACAGTCTCCCACGCCTCATCGCCTGGGTGTCGGAAGTCCTAGACACTACCGTGTCACCAGTGACCGGGCCGCAGCACCCACCTGAGGCGGGTCCATCAGAGGGGCCGCAGCCACAAGAACCAGTGGGCCGAGAGGGCCGGGTCGCCGCGGACCCGCCCCCCGTGCAGTGCGGGCAACGCCCCCTCTCGCAGTCCGTCAGACGCAGCGCTCCGGGGCCGCTGCACCGGCGGAAGGACGCAAAAGCGGCCAAAATGACCGCCAGGGGACGACGCCAGGAGTCCCGCCCCATCATGGTGCGCACGCACAGATAGGCCCCCTTTCTGAGTCTTCATTGGTTCAATGGCCGCTTTCGGTGCGGGGGCATTCTGGGATTTGTAGTTTGGAGCGCTCCGCAGGGTAGACCAAGACCCTTTATAAAACAAAGGCCAAAACTTTAGAGAAAAGTTTTACCGGGGTCCCAGAGAGGAGTCCTGGGTGCTCAATGGGTTAAATGCTTGGCCGCTCATATAAAGATCGGCTGTTAGAATCCACTAGATGTTCTAGAGGAGAAAACCCCGTGGGGCCCTTCTTCTCCACAGTAATAGGGTTTGAGCGCCCAGTGGGATAGGTGCTTGGGGTACCGAGAGGAGGGGCTGGACTTGAGGGGAGGTTTTAGCGTACAAAAGGGTCACAGGCAGATTTCAGGTTAGTATTAACTGCAACTAATCACTAAGGTACTTAATAAATGGTATTCATGACTTCAAGAGGTTCAGGATGTTCCCTGGGGTTAAAGTTATGGTTTCATAAGTTCTCAAAGGCTACAAATCCAAATGGACGTACCATTTGGTAGTCACTGACACACAAAGTACATCCAGATGTACTAAATATCATCCTACCGTTCTTCAACTATGGTAGCCTGACCCACTAAGGTCCATTTTGTGAGTTCCACGGAGGAACTAGACTGTAGGCTGGTTTCAGTTCCTGCAGTTCCCTCCCTTCAAGGCCACCAGCACTCTCAGGAGGCTCTCGTGGGATATCCCAGGCATGTGGAGTCAATCTCTGATTTGTTGATCTGAAAGGAGAGGAGGAGGCCAAGTGGAGCCCAGAAGTCTGGGTGACCCTCTCCACATAGGAATTGGATCTGAGACAACATCTAAATTTATCTGATGATGTCTTTCCAGCAACTTTTTGTTCCTTGACCAAAGTACTTTCTCTGTCAGAGCAGCTGGTGGTTTTGAACTGCTGACCTTGTGGATCACAGCCCAACTCATAACCACTGTTACACTGTAATGCTGGTCTATGCTAATTAGAGAGCTGTTCCTCCTGGTGCCACCTGGCCTTTGGTCTGGGAAAGGGAGGGCTGACCTTGGTCTTTCCTGAAGCTCTGTTCCAAACTGTAAATTAAGTCTTAAACAAAACAACCCTATCAATTGCCTATTCGAAGAGGAAATGTTTTCAGTTTCTAATTGGGTGGCATGCAGGCAGTTGGTTTTACATGTATGGCTTTTGTTATGTTGAGGGTTACCCTTCTAGTCCTATTTTGTTGAGTGTTTTTCTGGAAATGGATGTTAGGTTTTGTCAAATACCTTTTCTGCATCGACTGATGTAACCAAGTGTTTCTTCTCCTTTGTTTGGTTTGTATGGTGAATTACATTGATTGTTTTTCAAATATTGAACCATCCTTGCTTATTTAGTATATAAAAAGCAAACAAACAAATCATCAGGATAAGGGAGACTATTAGCATAAGGCCATAATGGTGTCCAAAAGATTCACATCCATATGACTAATTATAAAACATTGAAAAAGAGAGAGAAAGAAAAGAAATCAGCCCAAAGTCACAACTGGTGACAGATCAATCCATCGGCATTTCAGGTGAGACAATGGAAGCAGGAACTATGATTGGGATATGTTAGAGTAAAGTAGCCTCTAACAATCATGGGGTCCGTAGGCACAATTGTACAGCTAGAATATATAAAGATTACAGTAAAGTCATGGAAAATAGGAAAGATAGGAGAGAGCGTTAAATAAAGGAGTCAGACACATTTTACAGTAACATGCTCACCTCCAGAACGGCCATGACCTCAGCAGCCAGGTCTGCGCAGAGAGCGAATCTTTACTCCCTTGGAGTAAGTGTAGGTAGCCACAAGACATGCATATTCAGGAATTACACGTCACAAGGTGGGTGGTGACCACAATAACGTCTCTGAGCTCACAAGTGAGGAACCTAATGCCTGGATAGGGTATAACTCATAACCATGAGTCTCTCATACCTCAATTTCAATTAAGGGCTCACCTAGGCAAGTACATCCATAGGCTGGCTACCAAACCAAAAGCAAGCCCACTGCCATTGAATCGATTCTAATAGTGGCCCTATGTAGGGTTTCAGTGACAGGAAATCTTCATGGAAACTGGCAGCCTATTCTTCCTCTCAGGGAGCAGCTCGTGGGTTGGAACCTCTGGCCTTGTCGGTCGGTAGCAGACCAATGCCTAGCTCTCAGTGCCAGCAGGTCCCTTTTCTTTTCCCTAGGATGCATAGGGTAGTAGCAACCTGCTTTCAGACATACCTACCTGAGGCCAAAGCTTTATATTGATGATTATGACCAGAATGAACTCAATGGAGGCTGAATTTATGTTGAAACTTGCCTTGGAATTAGGGCTCCACCTGCAAATTGTAGCCTTCTACAAACTAAGTGCTTAGAATTTAAGTTCTAATATAGCATCCACCAGGGTTCCTTGATATGCAGCACATAGACAGCATTTTCCCCTGATTTTCTGGAGACTTGTAAAGAATTAATTGGTGCAGATTTCATGGGCAGCTCAGTAAAATCAGTAAACACAAAGAATGGACAACTTCTCCTTAATAATGTGGGCTGTAAACTCCTCTTCTGTCTCCACCGAATGGCCCAGGGGACCTCCCTGTACACCACCTACCTCCTAAGTGGCTTCCAGGCCATGACAATCAGTTCCAGTGCACCCAGGTGAACAGAGCTGAAGACAAGAGCCTCAGAGAAGGTTGTTTCTTCTGTTATACCAGCTGGATCTTCTGTTTTCGAGCACATGTTGTGACTCCTGTTTTGGTGAGTGAGCCAAGCCAGGGCAGAAACACCATCCTGAACAGAAATTTTAAATACTGCTCTGGCACATTTCAGCTATCAGGTAGAATCTTGTTCTATGCCTTTTTGATTGCTTTCACTGGTGTGATGCTTCTGGGACACATGATTGAAGCAAGTACCTGCACTGTGTTTCTTCTGCATAGACGAAGACCAAGCATCCAATACATTCAGAACAAACACCTCTCCCATAAAATCTCCCCTTAGACCAGAGCCACCCACACAATCCGGATATTGGTGAGTGTCTCTGTCTCCTTATACCCCTTCTCTTGTATTTTGGCATTCTCCCTCTGATATTAAAAAGGTCGATCTACCCTAAGGTGACCAGATTTTAACACATTGGTAAAGCGGGACAAAAGCAGGACACCATTGATAAAACTCATATCCTGGAGAAATAGCCACATGGCAGCCGAAAACCGTATACCCTAGCTTGTCGTGCATTCTTTCCAAAAATCGGGACTTTTAAAAAATGCCACGGGACGCGGGGAAAATTGTTTAAAATGCACTTGAGAGGATAGCCCTGAAGTTACAGCTTGGGGAGAAGGGCACATCTGATTAGAGCACACAGAGAAACAAAGAGGGATGGAGAGGGAGGGTAACACATCCGGGCCCACCAAGCCCCGAGGATGATATTCCTGCTCAGAGCAGACAATGTACAAAGGGCCGGCCCCACCATAAAACTTGATGTCCCTCACTGAACCATAGCGCTATGGGGGACAACACTGGAGACACAGTGTGGGAATTGTGTCCAATCTGACCCCATCACATTGGGACGAAACACCAAGGGCATGCAACAGAGCAGCAAGGGGAGCAAAATGAAATCCCCAGGGAATACCAAAAATAGACTTTGGAGACAGAGTGTGGCACCCCATCAGACTCAATTGGAAAACACTCCTAAAGGTCAAAAAACAGACCTGGAACTTTTTTTTTTTTTT